GGATCATGATCTGAGTCGAAGGCAGTCGCTTAACCAACTGAGCCACCCAGGCGCCCCTTCAATTTTTAGAAAAGATAAGAAATTAAAAAGACTTTCTGAAACAATCCACAACTGATTGTTTCTGATAATGTACTGATAATGCTTTCCAGTGTTGGTATGCATACCTGTGAAGCCAGGATGAGAGCAGTGCAGCCCAGGTGTGAATGGAGCACTGCCCAGATGTGCCCTACTGGCGAAGTTCCTTGTGTCACTGTTCATGACAGGATGTCACAGCCTACAATCTCGAAAAAGAGTAATGAAGATATACCACCTTCCTTATCAATGGCATATGTCCAAGCAACTCCCAGGTGAGCACCTGTACGGTAATCAAGAGTATCCCTGGGTTCAAGGTTATGCTCTGCCACTTCCTAGTTCTGATTCTAGATGAGTTATTTCATCTTTTGAGCCCACTGCCCCCTCCATCAACCGAGAATGGTAACAGCAGTACTTTCTTCTCAAGGTGCTTATGGATTAAATACAATGATCCATATAATGAAGTAGATGCTGCTGCCTGGTCCATGGTAGGCTTTTTTTTTTTTTTTTTAAGATTTTATTTATTTATTTGACAGAGGGAGAGACAGCGAGAGCAGGAACACAAGCAGGGGGAGTGGGAGAGGGAGAAGCAGGCTTCCCGCTGAGCAGGGAGCCCGATGTGGGACTCGATCCCAGGAGCCTGGGATCATGACCTGAGCCGAAGGCAGACGCTTAACGACTGAGCCACCCAGGCGCCCCATGGTAGGCTTTTATGAATATTAGGTTTTAACACGTGCACAGGAATAATGTAGTAACAGCTTAAAATAATAGCTATCATTTACTGAACACTGACAGTCTTAAATACCTTGTATAGAATACTTCATGGTGTCCTTATAACAACCCAGTGAGGTATTATCCTCATTTTATAGATAAGAAAACTGAAGTTTAGAGGGAAGAGTTAGGTGACTTGCTCAAGGTCACAGCAGAAGTAGGAGGTGGAATCAGGCTTTGAACCCAGGAAGCCTGACTTCTGCTCACTCTTAACCACTATCATACCCTCTAAGGCAGCATACACTAAACGTTAACATGCTCAATTTTGACATTTGGCAGCCCTGAGTGGATATGGTTGGTTTTTTAAAACTAGGCTATTGCATAGCGTTTTCAAAATATAAAGCAAATATCTGAGGCTGTCGGAATTTTCACAGAATGCTGGGCTTCCCCAGAACTCAGTTTGAAAATTCCTGAGGCAATTCACTGGTGTGTAGTTCCAATTACTAGAAAGTTCCTGCCTGTATCAAAGCTGATTCATTTTTTTCCCCCTTCACTCATCCTAATTCCACCCCTTGGAATCAGCCTGGAGTAAATCTCACTCCTCTTCCACAATGGTGATTTTCAAAATGCAGGTCACAGCCTACAGTCTTTTGTGAAATTTTTGTCATGAGTGTATGTGCTGGACCACAATATAAAATGCATTTCTTACCATGGGTCACATCAAAAAGTTTGAAAGCCACGGTTGTATATGACTATTCTTCAAGTATTTGAAGGCAGCTGTCATATCCCACCACCTAAAGACATGGGACCTTTTCAGCATCTGCAATACCTCCTTGTAGCATGGGGATTCTTTCCTTCCCTATGCTGGGTATCATCTTTTGGCCCTGTCATCAAATTCATCTGGGTCTCTCCTCAAACTGTCTTAGGGATGTCTTCCTTAGCCACCCTCTCTTAAGGAGCACCACGCCTCTCTCTACCCCTGACCCTGCCTTATGTTTCTCAATGCACTTTTTACTACCCCAAATCACATTTTATATGTACTTCTTTGTATATGGTCTCCCCAATAGAATAGAATCCTCACTAAATCCCCAGTCTGTTTCCTGGCACATAGTAGTTGCTCAATAATATCTGTGTAATGAATGAATACTAGGGGTAGATATATTCTAGCCATAATGCATACTGATGTAGTCATAATACAACTCTTTCCTTTGGGAGCTACATTCTGTAAGGATTTAACTCACCTGACTATAAATACAAATGTGTTTCCACTCTACTATATGTTTAAAAAAAACTATCATTTATGTTATAGGATTATCACATATCTTATACATTTATACATGCATATTAATGTGCAGTATATGTCAATACATACTAAATCATGTATACTGTTACCTTATGGGGAATTTTACGGTATTTGCATGAACAGTTTTGAGGACATGAGATTTTTATCAATTCAGTTATACATAATGCTATGGTGCATCTTGAAAGTATTTTACATTTTTCAAAGCGCACTCAGGGAAACAATCCACTTCATACTTTTCATATGAGAAACTAAGAAAGCATGTCAGAGAGCGAGAAGGAGCTTTAGCAGCCGGCTAGTGACCGCTAAATTCCAATCTTACCCTTTCATTTTACAGATGGATAAACTAAGGCGCAGAGCAGGGAAGATTTTGCTGAGCCCCGCCCCCCTGGAGCGGACCCAGGGTTAGAACTCAGCTCTTTTTCGTCCACCCACTGCCCGACACCAGAGCCCCCATCTGTGTGTATATTTGCAGAGGCAGAGGGGATTCAGATGGCCACGCCCCTCGCAGGAGCCCCATGGGGAGGGCACCCCGTGATTATCAGCACCCCTTTAGGTGGGGGCTTTGAGGGCACACCATCAGGGAGGTGCACCTCCGACTGCGGCTTCTTCCCACCATGGAACACCAACCAGCACGCGCCCAGCAGGTCCTCCTCCCCACGACCCCGCCACCCGTTCCCAGACAGGAACTGCCTCCTACCTCGTTGGGTCTCCCTGGGCTGAATCTGGGCTACCCAGCCTCCCCGTCGCTATGGAAACCACGGGCCTAACATTCTAGAGTCCCCCTTTAGGCCGCCTCCTGAGTAACTAGCCAATGGTTTCCTGTTTCTTTAGAGTGAAAAGTTGTTGGCCAATCGTTAGAGGCGTTTCAAAAAAAACCCCAAACAAACAAAAAAAAACAAAAAACAAAACCTTAGGGAAACTGCCAGAATTTTAGGGTTCGGGTTAATTACATCAGAACTAGTGGGGAAACTTAATAGGGGGTTATCTAAATGACCCCTCAAATATCTTGTGATAGACCAAGAGCCTTAGAATTTTGTCTACCAGGAAATCCTAGTTAGAAGACGACGACTAACATTCATCCAAGCCCTGTGTATAAAAGTAAAAGAAAAAAGACTGATACGGGCAACGATACAAGGACAGACACACAGTGTTCCTCGAATCCCCCCTTTACAAGCTTCAGAGCAGTCACGGTGATGTTGTCACTCCCCTGCTTAGAACCCGCAGTGGCCCCCCCATAAGTTTAGGATGAATCCAAACCTCTGTCCTTGGCCGGTCCTCTGATGGCAGCTCCTACCACCCCACGCCCCAGAAAAATCTTGCACCAGCCACGCTGTCCTTTGGGTAGTTCCTACGAAATGCCAACCTCGTTCTGCTCTCAGGTGTTCCTTCTGAGCTCTCTCTGCCTCCAGATCTGAACTAAAACTGGCTCTTTCTGCCTCCTTGGGGTCTGGGCCCAAATGCCATTTCTTCATCTGTAAAATGGGCATGAGCTCAAAGTCTCATACAGGGGGTTATTGCGAGGATCTGAAGTGAGATGCGTGTAAGTGAAAAAGTGTAAGCTCCAAGCACGTGTTGAGTACATTTATTGCTTACTGTATACAGTTGTACATTACCAAAGCATTCATCAAGTGCTAGGCTCACTAGGAGACCTAAGCCATTGCGGAGCGGCGGACACGCTGCGAGGGTTGGCACATAGCGCAGCCAACAGGTGTTAGGGGAGGGCCCGCAAGGGAATTGTATATGCCCCCCGAGTACTCGAGAAGGCTTTGCGGGCAGCCGGGTCTTGAGGGACGTGAAGGATTTGAAGGCATGGTGAGAGTATAAGGTGGAGGAACAGCAGGAGCAAAGCCCGGGAGGTGGCGCTGAGAACTGGAAGGTAGACTCCTGGCAGGCTGCCCACCTGTCGGGCAGGGGAGGTGAGCAGTCACCCGAGCTCTCCAGGACAGGCGGAGAGAGAGGTGTTTGTTCCAACGTCCTTGGCGCGGCCACTAGAGGGGACCCCCTCCAGGTGAGCGCAAAGCTCGAGAGGGGCCCCGCCTCCCCGAGGCGCTCCCACTACGCTTCAAGCAAGCTTTGCGGCGCAGCCAATAGCCGGAGGCTGTCCCGCCCACCCCCTCCTCGCAGCCACTCGCCTGCACGAAGTCTCCGCCAGCTTCTGACTGGCAGGCGGCCTGGCAAATCAAATCGTGGCCTTTGAAAGCAAAACACTGCAGCACTCAGACAGCTCTTGAGTTGGGGAAGGAATTAAGGAGGCTGTGCCTCCGGGTTGCGCGGAGAGTCCGAGTCATTTCTCAGAAACCTGGGATAGGTGGGCCTTAGAGGAGACACCGCCCGGTGAGTAGTGATTAAGCCTGAGACAGGGGGGACTTCAAATCAGCCTTCGCTTTTTCAGGAAAGGTAATGCATTTGGAATCATCTAACGTCCCCTAGTACAAATACCCTTCCTTCTTGCTGTCACCAGGCTTGCCGGTCTGGGTCTCGCTGCCTCGGAATGGTTTTTTCCCCGCTTTTGCAGGGGGGGCATGGGTTTGCCTTACTGTAGGTGATGGCAGGCTTTACCAAATCAGGAAGTGAAATGCAGTAACTTTGCCAAAATTATTTCTCTACACGCCGGCTCGGGCTTCCTGGCAGTAGCCGATGGTGGAGTTAGCAGGTGGGATACGGGGAGGCATTCTTGATCTACACTGTATGCGGGAAGTTATAGTTTCCAGCTCAGTGGGAGGGGAGGAGTGTAACCCTTTAGTGAGCCAAAGCCCAGGAAAAGGAAAGGGCTTGGCGTAACTGGCACTTACCACCTGCCAGAAGCTGAATCGTCAGGTGGTGGGAAAGGGCGTGTTTTATTGATTTTTTTCAGATAGAGCCAAATTCTGATACAAACCCTTCTCTTAGCAGCCATGAGCTGTGGTCCTCTCATCTGTCCAACCTGCTCTGTGGATTGGTGAAATAATTCACTGAGATAAGGTAGGGGGATGGAATGGAAGCAAGCACCGAGAATTATCTTTCCTTTTTTGAGTCAATGACCCTGTTCTTACTGCTGGCTGTGAGGGCCTCAGAATTAAGGGGTCGCTGGGAACACAGAGTTGGCCGCTTGCCTCTTGGGCATATGTTAGTGCTGAAAAAGTGCTTTGAAGGCAGAAAAGGAGGTTCACTAGGTTAACAATGTGCGCCTTAAAAGGGAGAAAAACTTGCAAAGAGTTCCTGCAAAGCTTTCTGTCCTAACTCCTACCTAGCTGAGGGAGAGCCTCCTGCCTTTGCAGGGGATGCCTTAGAGGCCTTTGCCCTGAGGCAAAAAGGGAAGCTGCTTTTAAAAAGGGAATTAAATGACCGCAACAACTCCACCAACAAAAGCGAAAACAGAAACCCACCTGAACAAAGCGGCTGGTCCAAAGAAGGTTAGGAGGCCTGGGTTTCCATCACCCCATTGGCATGTCCTCAAGGCCTGTTTGCTTTCTCTGACATCCTGTGGGCGGGGCTGGCTACAGCTGTTGTATCTCTGGAGTTGTGGTTGATTAGGCCTGAGTAAGCCATTCCATTCTTGACTGCGAGCTGCCCCAGGTGTTCCACAGGCCTGCCTTTATCCAGTCAGTAGGTATGTTTGGAGGTCCCCATGCCGGGCTCTGGGCCGGACCTTGGCAAGCTGCAACTGAACAGGGGATTCAGCAGACACCTTCCCAGTTTGGGCTCCAGTGCCCCTTCAGCTCCAGGCCAGGTTGAAAGCCTGCAAGGGTCTCTCGGAGGTCTCTCCCTGGGCCACTCTTTACTATATTCAAAACATTAGAATACATAAATTTAACACAGTCATGCTTTTCACCCACACAAAGAAGTATAGTGAAGAATAATTATACTTTTCACAAGATTGCAAATATTCATAGGTCTTTACAGTCAGGGAGGTCTGGCTCTGGGATGTGAGTTATAAAATTGTCTGATGAGTGTACCTTGTATATATTGTATATAGATATGTACCATATGTATATGTGTGTATAATTACGGTATTGAATATACAGCGAATGTATAATGTCATCTGGAGGCAGCAGCAATAATTTAATTTTGAGGCCCTTCAACAAAGTGAGACCTGAGCCAAATGGTCTTCCTGGCTGCCCCGGTGCTAAGCCCTGCATCCAGTGTCTCCTAGATTCTGGACACAGTGTTAGCCCTGTGACATATGACTGTGCTGTTCACACCAGGAACCAGGATTGCTGGGGGCAGGGCTAGATAACAGAAGGAACTGGAAGTTACAGGACTCAGAGGCAACTTTCTAAAGCCTTGGGGGCATGGCAGAGGCTGCATCTGTTTGACACACAGTCAGCCCTCCATAAATATTTGTTGCATGAATGCATGAAAGAAAGAGGAATATCTGTGGGTAAATTCAGCAATTAAACTTATAAGAATAAAATTAATACTAATAATAGCTGCCATTCATTGGCCATTTGCTATGCATGCATTTTATATGCATTATTTCATCAAATTCTCACAACAACCTTGAGGGGTGAGGTAGGAATGTTATTATCTGTATTTTACAGCAGAGAAAACTGCCTGGAAAGTTAAATGACTTGGCCAAGGCAAACAGGTAGCATATAACAGATCAAAAGCTGTAACATTTTTATATTAAAATAAACATTGAGGGGTGTCTGGGTGGGCTCAGTCAGTTAACCATCTGACTCTTGATCTCAGCTCAGGTCTTAATCTCAGGGTTGTGAGTTCAAGCTCCCACATTGAAAAAAAAAAAAAACAGACTTTGTAGGAGAATCCAAATTTGTATGGATTTTTTTTTTTACTATACGAGGACCTCAGAGAAACCCTTAGCACTGCGGTAAGGTGCTCTGGCCATGCCTCCCAGAACCCTAGGAGCATATACTTCATCTTTCTTTCTTATTTGGTAGAAAAGCTTGACCTGTGCTGAAAATTATCAGCCCGATAAAGTTAACAATGACAGTCCGAATTACTGTCATTGCCGATTTTACTTGAGGCCACATTATTACCCCCACTTTACAGATGAGGCACCTGAGGCTCCCAGAACTGATGTGATCCGGTCACACAGGTCTTCTCCCGGGGCCCAGTGTTAGCTCACCTGTGCTCGACTGACCCTCGGTAGCAGCTCAGTTCTTCCACCATCCACAGAGATAGCTTTTCTTCTCATTCTTTCTTCCCTAAGTCAGAACACAGATGGTTCCTGTTTTGTGGCAAAGGGATATTTTTTTGGAGGCCTGCAGAAGTAGACAAGGGCAGTATCCCACCTCTTATGTGTAGGGGAGCCTCTAGAAAAGGTAGGATTTAAATTAGGATGTGATGGGAGGAAAGAAACAGGGGGGAAGAGAAAAGGTGAGTTTTATGGGGCGGGGGGGCGGGGGGGAGGAAAGGTTCCGAGGTAGATGAGCCACATCTTTATCAAGGGAGCCAGGGGCATGATACAATTTTTTTAAGGGCTTCACTTCTTATGATAGGTTGTTTTTTGTCCTCATAGTATTCCCTCCTCGGGTTACAAAGCTGGGCTCTATGTCACATTGTACATGCATTTTTTAATGCTCCTCCCCACCCCCCTAGAGCACCGCCAGGATAAGGAATTGCACCCTTGTCCGTCTGCTTGGGAGAGACAGAACTTGGCACTTCTCTGCGTGGAGGTGCGGGAGAAGCGGTCAGCCAGCCAGAAGAGCTTTGAAGTCCTCCGATGGTTGGTGGGAGGAGGTGAACACCGCCAGGGAAGATGGTCTCCGGTTTGGGCCCCGCGTAGCAGCAGCTCCCAGGCCAGGCCCAGGGATGTGCCTTTAGAGCACACCATGGACCGAGCCCACAGCGCAGCCCTGCAGCTGCACCAGCTGCCGCCCACCAGCAGCGCCAACCCGCTCAGCGAGCTTTCCTTCTCCTACAAGGCAAGAGCTTTTGTGGTTTTGAAATGTTGGGTTTTTCTAACAAGACAGTAACACAGCACAGTGTTGGCTAACACGTTTCCAGGGGGTGCGTGCCTGTCACTGGCAGAAACAGGCAGCCGCCTCCCTCCCC